GAGCAAGTGGGGGTGGGGCGTGTGAGCCCTGCAGTGGGGGTGGTAGCCTCTATGAGGGCCTCTTGGCCCCTGTGGGGGTGCTGGGGCCCTTGTGGGGGGCAGCAAAACATACAGGTATTTCACTTCATGATGACAATAGAGACAGTGGTACACTTCCAAATTGTTTTAACACTGTAGATATATCAATGAAACATTGCTCAGCTGATCGTTATATCTTTGTCTCTTGCTTTCTCTCTATTTATAGTGGTCTTTTGTTTTGGAGGAACATGGATTTTGGGGTATTTTACAGAGTAACTTTGGGATGTTTTTATCAGAGATTTTTCAGTTTTCAAATAGGGAACACCAGAATTCCTGCTAGGGAGGCCCGTGGCAGGACCTTGCCTGCTCAGAGCTGGCACCTTGGACCCAGCTGGAGGTGGCAGATTTCCTGGCTAGCTGGGGCCAAGAGGACATGCTTTGACAGTTCAAAGCAGGCCACCACACTGGGAACATCTTCTGGGCAATAGCTGACCAGATGGCCAGGCAGGGGCACACATGGCAGTAGTGCTGCACAAAGGCCAACTTTGCTTCCACGGTCTGCTGGAAGCTGGCCCAGAGGGGCAGATGCCTTTGCTGGCTGTGCAGTCTGCATCTGGGTCTGGTAGGTGTGCAGCAGGTCACAGCCAGGCAGCAGCCCCCACTGCCAGACTGCTGCAGTAGGTAGAGGGTGCAGGGAGCATTTCAGGGCTACTTCAGCAGTCCAGCTGACACAAAGGGTAGTGTCCCCAGGTACCAATTGGCTGGGCCCCAGAAACCCTGAGAGCAAGTAGAATTGAGCTACTTGACAGGGCAGCTTTTTGTACTGATGGGGCTAGGACAGGGCAGCTCTTTGTACTGATGGGGACAGCACAGGTGCTGGCCCTAGGCCGCAGATCCAGGAGGAACCAAGCAGGGTTATTTTGCCCCAAGTAGCACAGCTTGCCCCACACCAAAGTGCATGTCCGCGCACATGCGCCGAGGCAAAAAGCCTTGGTTTAAATTTGCACCGCTTCTGTTTGAGCTGCTGCAAGTGCACATGCCTGCATGTGTGGATATGCCTATTGGGGGCAGACTGAGTGGTGGTAGCATTCACCCCCTGGGTTCCTCAGTTGCACCAGCACAACAGCTCTAGCAGCCCTGCTGACCTGTCCTGTTAGTTACCACTTGGGCAGTTCTGCATTAACCAACTGCTTGTCTGTTATGGTATTGCTCTCTTCCCTCCTTTTACCTATGGCATGCTGTGGGGCGGTACTGGTATTTTAGTTATGTGCCTTGTATGAAGGGGTTAGAACTGATGACTGGAGAATCCTTGAGTAAATGGTTGCTTGGAGCTGGAGCTGCAAGGGCTGCTGGAGGTCCTGTTCTGCACTGATATAAAAGATGACCTCTTGCAGTCAGTGTTCATAGTGGAGCTTGGAAAGCTACTCTTTGCCAGGCTAACTGTTAGCATTTCGAAAAGGTGAGGTTGATTTGTTTTTTAGGGAAATATTTTGATACTCATGGTAATATCAAATCGCTGAGAGAGAATAATAGCCAGCAAAGCAGACTTTATAAAATTCAGTGTGTGTGTGTGCGCGCGCGCGCACTGTTTATTTTAAAAAGAAAAATCAGAATTAAAAAGAAATGTTATAGGCTTGTTTTAAACAGTATATTCAGTCTGAGATTTTAACAACCTGTGTTAAGAAACTTATTTTATTTAAATTGAAAGATATTTAAACAGCTCATTTGCTTTCCAAGTTTGAAAGAACATCAGATCATTAAAGGGGAAGTTAGTGATATGTGTCAAGATTCAGCATTTGAAGCAACTGATAGCTTTTGATAGTTGCCTCTCCCACTGAGAGAATCCTTCTTTTCATTTGAGTGTTCTGCTAGTTCAGTTTTTTGATTGATTCATTCTAATATAAGAAACTGATTAGAAATCAAGCCCTTTCTACTTTCTTCAGCTCCCAACTAAGAATAAAAACTAGACGTGAGAGGAAATAACTGTCCAACTCTAAAATCATGAAGAACAGAGACCAAGAGCAGTTGATGCAATTTGCAAACAATAGTTGATGCATCTTCCATTTGACAAATAGCTTAGAAATCGATCCATAAAACAATTTTAAAATGGATTTTGCATTTTTATGGGAAAATTCTTTTTCCCATCCAAATGTCACTTCATGCATAAAACACGCTAAAATAATAATAGTCTAGTAACTGACATGTTAGATTGCTAAACATGGGAGAGAAGACTTCTAAAGTTAACTGGAGATGCTACCTCATGTCTTGGGCTTGATTTCTTGTTTCCATTCCTTAAGCCACCAAGTGTTGGAGCCCCAAGGAGATGGTACACTTATGCCTACTCAGATCTTGGGGAATGACTGCCATCACTCAATTCCTTCAGCTTGGAAGTGGATTAAAAACTCTGGAGAGTCATTATGTCTCTGGAGAACATAAGAGTATCTGAGTAGGTGACTGAAGCATAAATTAAATCTCATCAAAGCATGTGTGTTGAGCTAATAGCTGCTGTTATTCAGTGTTGTAAAAACTGGATTTTACATGTATGTTTGTAACATTGTTGCTTTTTTTGTCATGTATTATAATTGTAATGCCTTTGTCTTTTATTCCCACTCAGGTAAAAAATGTATGCGAATGTAGGAGTAAGCTGATTGCACAGTTCTGGAAATTGCACATGACTTCAAAGAGGTGCCCAAACTGCAAGTAAGTGCAACTGGAGACAAAGCAAGTAGTTTTATGGAATTGTGTCTTGTGAAGTGAATAGTTAGTTTTATGTACACTGGTGACTTAACACTGATTTTTCACCTTTTTCTTTCTTTTGCTTTTAAGAGCTAAAAGATCACTGGTTCGAAAAGAGCATAACAGCAAGTTGACAGTTACCTATCCTACTGCGGTACGTCAGAAGTCAGGCAAGGAGGCCATCGTGGAACAGCCAGCAAGTAAAGCATTTTATTTTGTGCAGATAATCTTACACTTGTATTCTTCACTGTGTTTAAAGCTCACTGTGGTTTAAGATCCACTACAATAGGTAATTTGCACTTGTGCAGCTTCACATGAAAATGAGATCTGTTGTTTGCTGGGAGGGAGACTGGGACATGAAAAATATTACCTTTTAATCTGAGTTTTAGCCAAAAAGTTTCCTTTAATACATCTGGCTAACTTTGGAGACCAAAAGATTTCCCAGAAGAGAGATGAAAATTGACACCCAGAGATTCAGGTTAATTTTGTCCGTGAAAAAATATTAATCTTTTTTGTTGTAGTACAAAAAATGGTGTTTCTGCAAAAGTGTGGCTAAGTCAGTAATTAAGCAAGTGCAGTGGAATTCTGTCTATGGTAGTTAACTCAGCTGAAAGGGCATCTCACCTTTACAGCCAGGGACTGAAAGGTCTGTCATCTTTACCAAAGCTGCAAGTAGATTGTTACTCCATTGTATTGGATCTATGAACCTCACTGGAAACCTAATATGTTTGTTTGCCTGTGGTAGTCCACTAGATCTCTTCCCCCTTTTAAGTGTTAGAATGTACCATGCACCTATCTGTACTTCATAATGTGTGCGTGTCAAACTTGGTTTTTTTTCAATTCTGTTGCCTAGTGAGTGTCATGGCCAGGGATCCGGGTTTTCTGTTTGCTGTGGAAAAATGCTAATTTTTCTCCTTTAAAGAGGGGAGAAAAGATTTCTGTGTCTACAGCAGGGCATGGGGCTTAGGGCTGCAGTTTAGCAGGACCAGCTCCAGGCAGGAGCTGCTGCCTCAGCCCAGTGGGCAGGACCCAGCATGGGAGGGAGTGCAGTGTCATGGCTGCCAAGATGAGGCATCCCCTGCCCACCCAACAGCAGCAGGGGGGCACAATTCTGCTCCTTCCTGCACTGGGTGCTGCCCACTGGGCAGCCCGGAGGTGGCACTGGTGGTGGTAGTGATGGTGGCAGGGAGGAACTGCAGGGGAGCCCAGATGTGGACTCCAGGTGGCTGCAGCAAGAAGGGCCTAGCAGTGGCAAGGGGGAGGCAGCCACTTTTTCCTCTGCCTAGCAGCAGTTTCTGCCCATTTGCTGCTGCCACTCATCATACACAGGTGGTCCAGGGTAGGCATGGGGCAGTCCAGGATCATGGCTGCATGTGTCGGTCCCGGCTGGTCCGCTCTGGCTTGGGAGAGTCTGGAACGGTTGCAGGGTGCGCTGGAGCCAGGGCTGTATTCTCAGCTGCTGCTAGTAGTAGTGACAGGGAAGAGTTGCAGTGCACGTGGGCTCCAGGCTGTTGTTGGGAAGAATGGGTGGAGGGTTGCTGATCTGCCTGTGGCAGCTCCGCAGAACTGCCTGTGTGCTCCGTGGGCCTGAATAATTGCCTGTCCCTGCTGTAGATGCAGCAGGTTGTGCTAAATCAGTTGTAATTTTTGAGGATTTCCACTTTTCGGTTCCTTTCTTTGATAGAAATGGGCAAAATTTGACTTTCACAATTACAGTGAGCAAAAGGTTTATTTCATAATAATCTTTGTTTTCCCTCCCAATTTCTCAGCCATAGATGAGTCTCATATGGGGAAAAGAGGCTACATGACGCCTATCAGTGCCAAAGAACATGTTACAGCTCTGTGGAAGAATGAAGGTAACTATTAGACCAAATTTATTTTGACTATCTCAGTGGTTAGCAAAAAGATATCTTAGTATGTCATTTATCACTCTCTTTTTCTTTACATCCCTATCCAACTTTAGGTCTGCATGTTCTCATCGCGTAACTTTCTCTGCTGTGAACTCCTTATCAAATTTACACTTTTTCCCAAAATGTGCCTTGCATCCAGATGCAGATAGATTTTGCAACAGAGGGGCTATATCCTGTGATGGTGGAGGGCTAGACTGACCTATTGCCTGATACCAAATGGTGGTCCCTACAGCACTTGCTCAGTGTTAGCAGAAGGGTTGTTCTGGATTTCCATAATTTCAACACATTACAAACCACCAAACTACCTATTAGTAATTTTTCCTGATGCTTTTCTGGGGTAGGGGTGGCAGGAGGGGCAGGATGCAGGGGGAGGAATGGGGCAAAAATTTGGGGAGCGGAGGAATGGGGCAAAAGTTTGACTTGCTTCTGGTCTGGCACTTCCATTTTCCCCTTTGGAGATTTGCCATCAGCTAAGGATAGTCAGCCTTCATGTGGTAGATGTCTTTGTTAAATTGCTAAAGGTTCTGAATTCCTAATGGGTAAGAAGGCTTTAATTCTGTACAGTATCGCTTCTTTCTTAAAAAAATATTGGGATTTGGCTGGTGTGTTATAATAAGTTAAAGGCAATGCACTGAAAAATGAGAGGGTGGGGAAAGATAGGCAGTTGTCTCAGTTCTTGAATCCTGTCCATCTGTGTTTTGAGTAAAGTAGGGATCATCTGGAAAAAATGTATGGGGTCATGCAGTTGATTCTGGCTGATGGGTGAAAAGATGTGACACACACACTCCGTCTCCCCTCCCGCCCCAACCCTTCCTCTTCCTACTTCTTCACTTAGAGCCATAATAAATAAATTAAAAAAAAAAAAAAAAAGTATAGTAAAGAGAACTACAAATGTTTCCCATGTTTTAGCTGCTTGTATATTTTTGTAATAGAACAGATTTTCTACTGTACTACCTAAAACCTATCCAAGAATGAAGTTCTGTTCTTCTAGACCAGGGGTGGGCAAAATACAGCCCACAGGCTGGATCTGGTCTGCCAGCTGACTGGATCTGGCTCACGGCTTTGCCCACAGCGCTCTGTGTGGGGCTAAGCCCCACCCGCTCCTGCTGGCGCAGCATGTGCCATGTTCCAGACTGTGCCTGCTGGCCCAGGCCCCAACCAGCAGAGCTGTTCCCTCTGCCCTCCTGCCCAGAGTGGTGCAGGAGGAGGAGCCACCGCTGGAGGCAAGGGGAGTAGAGCAGCACCTGGTCAGCTGCAGCCACACTGGGAGCAGCCCCACCAGAAGCTGTGTGTGCTGGTTGGGGCCTGGGCCGGCAGGGCTGTTCTGCTCCCCTCGCCTCCAGTGGTGGCTCCTGCTCCTGCCCCTGCTGCACTGCTTTGGGTCTGGGGGGAAGCTTCAGCTAGGTGGCTTTTGCTTCAGTGCATGGGACTTTAGCTTCTGGCTGCCTTTGACCCACTGCACCCGCCTGGCTTCTGCTTCTGAACACTGCTCTCCACCTGCCCAAAGCCCCATAGGGAGTTTTGGTGAGTTGCGCAGAGAGCGAGGGATGCTGACCCAGCACACGTCAGCTCATCAAAACTCCCTACGTGTTCCTTGGGCCCAAAATAATTGGCCACCCCTGTTTTAGACATTTGTACAAACCTGCAGTAATAGGCTATCCCTGCCCTAACAGACTCAGTCTAATTAGACAAGACATATTGGGAAATAAGCAAGGAGGGGATTAGCTAGGGTATGCAAAATATGGCCCATGGGCTGAATGTGGCCTGCTGAGAGATTTTTATCCAGCCCATGGAGGGTTCCTTGACTCCACCTGGCCCAGCACAGGGGGCCACCCCACAGTGGCACATCAGACTGGTCCTGTCCTGCCATCCTTAGGCACGTGGCAGAGCAGAGGCGGTGCTGTGGCTGGTTTTTCTAGCTAGCTGCTGCTGCCAGTCTGCCCTGCTGCTGCTGCTTGGGGCACTGGACGGCAATCGTAGGTGGGGTCTCCATAGAGACTGGCTAAGAACCGCAGTGGGCAGGGCACACTTGGCTGGGTAGATGGGACAGGGAGCAGCATCCAGGAACAGTATGGGCGGGTGGGGACTGGGATCCTGGAGCCAGGTTCTGGGGTGGAGGCACAATCCACTCCCCACATGTCCCCACAATGGGTGCTGGTTCCATAGGCAGGGGCTGGCTGCTGCTGGCAGAACTGGCATCCTTTGCAGCGATGCAGGGAGTGCATCATGCTTCTACCCTGGGCCCTGACTCCACACTCTCACCCCCCTGCAGCCCCAGTCCCTGCCAGTCCATCCTGCTCCTGGGCGCACTGCTCTCCACCTGCCCGCAGCCTTATCCCATCTGCCCAGACAAGCGTGCCCTGCCCGTGGGAGTCCAGGGCTGGTTTCCATGGAGACTCCACTTTATCCGGTGCCCTTGTCAGTATGGGGTGGATGCCCTGGGCTGGCTAGGATCAGTTGTCCCCCTAGCCTGCAACAGCTCACTGAAACTCCTTCAGTGGCCCTCCAGCCCAAGTAGCTTATCTTGGGGGTAGGCAGTTAAATAGGGAGGTGAAAGAGCTCTGGAAGGGAAGGGAGGTAGTTGGGAGGGGGTAGGGAAGAACAAGGTAAAGGTCAGTTGTGGGGTGGAACTGCTGAGGTAAGGAAGGGCAAAAAAGGATGGTTGTAACAGAAAAGTCCCCCTCGAAATTGTTGCATCACAGTTCGCTATCTTTGGGCATTTGTGCCTTGTCCTGAAGGGCTCACTGGTACCCAGGGGTCTCTTCCTTGTTTGGAACTGTCCAGTGAAATCTGACTTTGGTCCTAATTTAGGCTTTGGAGCATTACCATGTTATAAATATTTTATTAAAGGGAATCATGTAACTAAGAGCGATAGTATAAAGTAGCCTCTCTTCAAGGGGAAATAAATTAGAGATATGGATTTGGCCTAAATTCTAGTGTTTCTTTATAATGTTTTCTTAAGTAGGTTGGAGGTTTTTGAGGGAGGAGAGCTGGTTTTGTTGTGGGCGGAGGATGTAATGTGTGTCTAGCAGGGACTGTGTATATGAGATGGGATGAAGGGGAGAAGAGACTATCCCAGGAAGCAGACTGACATCTATTCTGTTCAGGCATCTCTTCAGAGAGATGCCTTGAAAAACCACATAGGATGTTATTAAAATGAAATAATACCAGCTAGAAAAGTTTACTGTTGGCTCTGGTAGCAACTAGTAGGAGCCCTAGAAAATGCAGTTTTAAAAAGTCCCAGGAATAATGACTAACAAATGGACTGACTGGAAAATAAATCATTTTAGTAATCTGTACGATGAAAGCTGTCAACGTTCTCGATATAGTTAACCCAATGACATACCTTTATTTAATCTCCAAAAGTAGTTGTGGGTTTTTGTGCCTGAAATATTATAATCCCAGTGCAACTCATATTGCTTCTTTGATTGCACTTTTTAGGTTTCTTTCTGAGTCACCTCTTTTCGGGTCTGGAAGTTGGTGAGAATTCAGGATTCAGTCCTGATATGTTCTTCCTTGATCTCGTTATGGTTCCACCTTCAAGGTAATAGTATTTTTCTGTCAAATTTTGCACATATTGGAGTTATTACTGCATTTTGTTTGCAGATGTGGAGATTCAAAATGTATAGATACTAGTCTGTTAAAATACTTTAACAACATGGTTTGGAAAAAATTGGAGTAAATAATAAATGAAGGTGTACTTTCCCCAGGCTCCTTAGGAAAGCCACTGAAGGATTGAAAAAATATTTAAAATAAACCTAAATCTTCTTGAAAAATATTCCTAACTGTTTCAGTAACTATATACAGTATGTGCTGGTTTGTACCAGTAGAACTTCTTGCAAAAGGAGTGATGTTTTAATAAGCTTGTCAGTGTTGTATGTAAAATTAATGTGAATGCTGTTAGTTCACACTGGTTATTTCTAATACAGTGAAGATCAGTGGTGGGGATGGGGGAGAGGATGGCAGGATTGTTTCCCATGGGTTCCGAGTGTATAACAAATGTCATCTGCTATAGATATCGTCCTGTGAATCGCCTGGGAGACCAGATGTTCACAAATGGTCAGACGGTAAATTTGCAGGCTGTTATGAAAGATGTCCAGATGATAAGGAAGCTTTTGGCTTTCATGGCTCAGGAACAAAGTCAATCAATAAAAATTGGAGAGAATGAAGTCCAGGAGGTAAGAGCTGCTGCATGCTTGTTTTTTTTTTTTCACTTGACTTGCTTGGGCAAAAGTTCCAAGCAGGTGGCTTCTGCTGGAACTTTTTTTTTTAAAGATCACCAACTGGACTGGCAGGTCATTTATGATTAGAAAGGCTCTCCCTGGACAGGTTTCTGCACCATTTTCCATCATCTTGCTGCTGTAAGAAAGCAGTTATTCAGCCTGCTATGTCCTGCATTCATTAGAAAACAAGTATTTAGCATGCTTTGGATTCAATGGGTTGCCAGCACTAGAGAACAAAATCTTCCATGTGGCAAAGTTTCTCATAGAGTATAAACTTTTCCCACACCTCACTGCTAACCTGTAGGACATAAGACCACCACTGTGGATAAGCAAGCAGACACGCATCGAAAGCCTGCTAGTACCAATTATTGTTACTGCTTTTTAGTAGCCAAGCTGATAAAAGTGTTATTTGGTAACAGCATTCAGTCACTACTGATATGAGCTGTATTTTTATGGCTAATGCAGAAGTGAAACACTCCATATGCCATTACCAGACCAAGGAGTCTTCTGGCCCCCCATTGTTTTCAGTTCACTCGTACTGAGCCTTGCAGGCGGATAGCTGAGAGTCTTATACTACTGTGTGGATTGGCCTGTGAGCTGTTTTGGCTTGTCTGCACGGGGAACTGATTGACTGTAGTTTACAATGTGTAAGCTACTCTGTACTAACTTCCTATGTGGACACTTAGTTTCCTAGGGGAGTGCTTGTCAAAGTGAAGCCAGTGGTTCACAACCTTTTAAATCCCATGGTCCACTTACAGCTTCACAGCTCAGCTGCCCTTCTGCAGCCAGCTCTACCCATAACCCCATGCACGGCCCTGCTGTCTACCTCCCGCATCTTCCTCTTGCAGGATGTGCTCTAGGAACTCCCTATTGTGCGTGCATGCGTGCATTAGCTCCCAAATGGAAGTAGCAGAGCCGCCCGCAGTTCCAGCCTAAGGAGAGGTGACATCTGCTTCTTCCAGATCAGGAGAGAAGGCGTATGTAGCAGCCTTAGCCTGATAATTTGTGCTCTGAGAATGTTTCGAAGGGAAGAAAGAGTCAGCTGCCTTCCCCGTATCCACTGTTGTGGCCCACCTGCATGCATCTTTGCGTTGTTGGCTGAGAACAACTGACTCAAGTGTTCTCATGGGGAGATGGTGCTGTATTATCTGGTGAACAGAAAATTTGCAACCTAGTGTACTACAGACTTACTTCCAAGCTAGACAGGGTGCTATTGTGGAACACCCAACAGTTGTACAGAGGTACAGGAAACCCTTGGTATTCGGGTTCAGCAGTCGCAGTTTCAAATATTCATGAATGCTGAACCCGCATTTTAAATATACTTTAAACACTTACCAGAGCTCCTCAGGAGCTCTGCACTTGCTGCTGCCGGGCTCCCACTGCCGCTGGAGCTGTGTCCCCCCCTCCAGCCCCAGGGGCATTACATTTATGAATGCAGTGCCCTATTCCCAGATTTTGCCGTTTGCGGGGATCACGGGAACGTATCCCCCGCGAATGGCGAGGGTCGCCTGTACTTCCTTCCCTAGACCTAAGTACCTTATGTAATAGCTTCATCCCATCCTTTGGAGTCTTATTCAGTCATTTTCCTTTTATTATTTTTAAATATTTATGTGTAACACTCATGTTGCTATAGCATTTAGGTCCTGCTCTGTTGGCACAAACATAAATTCCCATGTGGGATCAAATACCAGTGTTTATGAGTCTCTGTCAAACTTGGGCCATCTTGCGTTTCTCTCCCTTTGCTAAGAAACCTTCCTACCATTACTTGGGAGAGAGACTTCCCCATTCCAGTTGGAAACCTGCTGAGCCTAAAGGTCAGACTCAGAATAAACCCTGATCTGATGGAGTGCCTCTCTCTAGACATAGTCCATATTTACTGTAGAGTAGCATGTTTTTAGCATCTCTCTGATATAGGTGTTTATTGTCAGTTATGATAAATCTTTTGATTTACGTCCTTAAAAAAAAACAACACACACCTTCTTGGTGGGCATGCCCTTTGAATTTCACCACTAGATGGAGCTGCGTTCTTGGATCTTTGAGAAAGTTTCCAGCCACATCAATTATATCTTACGATCAGGGTGCAGACTGTTGCACCATTTTTTTTTATATGATATGGGATTTTTGATCCAAAGACTATGGGCTCTTCTCTAAAACGTGACTTCCTTAGCAGTACAGTAGTCTTTAGTACCTTGCTGAGTCTCTCATTTAGTGGTTGACCCAGATGAAAGACTAGTAGTACTGACGCAGTTATCCACTTTCTACTCCTTGTCACATGTACAGTAATTGTTATTTTCCTCAAAGGTCACCTATTCAGGTGCTAAGCAGCTAGTGCTGCTTATTTTGTGGGATTTCACAACAGACCAGTGTAAGAGCATATGTTACAATAATTACATATAATACTAATATCATTAAGAGCATATGTTGTAATATTCGTACAATAACATCTTAAAATAACACTTATTTACCTAGACGCAGGAATTATGGTTGGTGATTATCAATTGTTGGACTAACTGCGTGGGTGGGGTGAACTCAGACAAGCTTTTCAGTATGGTGCATTCTTCAATTCTGAGAAGAAAGCAGGCACAGCGAGAAGATTTAAAAACAATTTTAATCTTTTAATCTTAATCCTAAAACTGCTTTTAATCTTTCACAGTGCCTGCTTTTTCTTCAGACCTGAAGAATTCACTATATCCAAAAGCTTGTTAGTCCATCCCAACCATGCCATTAGTCCAGTAAAAAATAATTGCCAACAAAAATCCTTGCTTCTTGCATGCTTCATGAACCATGATGGCTACAGCATCATTCCAACACTACTATTTGCTTTCTTAGCTATTTCTCAGGTAACTAATTAGACAGCAATTTAGCTGCACGTTATTTGGGAGCCTAGTGGCTGAAACAAGATTGATAAAATAGGAGTTAATTTTTTCCCCCTTTACCTTCTTTAAACACAAGCTTGCATTTTATATTTTCCCAGGAGATAAATGAGCCGTTGGAACCACTGGACCATTCCATCCTGGCAACAATCCCGGGACAAAGCACTGCAGATAAACTCTACAATATTTGGGTTCGCCTTCAGAGCCACGTCAATATTGTATTTGATAGTGACATGGACAAACTAATTTCAGACAAATACCCTGGCATCCGTCAGGTGAGCATGAGAGGAAGTCTCCCATTCCTTAGACGTTGTATGGAAAGAGGTAGCTATAGAGGCAAGAATAGAACGGGAGAGGGAGAGAACATGGAGTAATTGTGGTAACTTCATAGGCATGTTAATACCTGTATCTGTCCCACATGTATGCTGCCTCAAAGAACCCAATATGTGACACCCACATTTTATGGTTTTATCATTCTTTTCACGTCTGTTTTCCAAGATACTGGAGAAGAAGGAAGGTCTGTTCCGCAAACACATGATGGGAAAACGTGTGGATTACGCTGCTCGGTCGGTCATTTGCCCCGACATGTACATCGGCACGAATGAGATTGGCATCCCCATGGTAAGGGACAACAAAGTAACAAGTATTTTCAGTGCAAGCCAGGGGACTGGGCTGAGGGTGTAGTATTTTTGACTACTAGTATAGTTTGCAAAGGTGCAATTTGTAATTCACTGACTACCTTGATGACTTGTCCCTGGAGCCCTACAAAATAGATTTCCCCCAACACATTCACTGATTCTTAACAGGGGTATTATAATGAAATAAATAAATAGATGAAGGGGAAAGAATCTGTCAGATGTAATAAATATTCCCTTCAGGAAAGACCTTAGATGGAGAAGCACTAAATCAAGTCTGTGGTGGTCTAACAGTCGCCACCCACTAAGTAGAATTCAGCTACCATTTTTTTTTTTTGTGTGTGTTTGTTGTAATCATATACTGCGTCTTGTAACAGTAGTGACAGACCTTAAGGGAAGGTGCCAGATTTAGGTATTGGTAAAAGGCTGCTGTAATTCCTTCCTGAAAGACTTGGACTTGCAAAGAGGTCAACTTCTCCTGGGATTTCTGAAGGTCAGGAGGCTCTGCAAGTTACCGTCTCCGGGATTCTTGCCTGTTCATCCAGGCTAATGGGGAAGGGTGTTTCTAGGATTGAAGCCAAAACATAATTACATTCTAGAAAAATTATAGAGGAGGAATAGAAATGTTTGTTAGAAATTAAAATGCATTGCGTTGGCCATACATCTGGAATGTTGGCCATTCATTCTTCCTGCAGTTTCAAAATTGTACTTTCTGAATAGATGGTACCATTTTAAATCTAAATGTACCAACTGATTTTTTTTTTTCTTTTTTTTTTTTTCTTTTTTAGTGATTAAAATATAGCTGAGAAGGAAAGACTAGCTTTGATTTTACTGGAGCTGAAGGAGCACTATAAAAATAGTTTAGATGTCAGAAAAGTTTACTTGTATTTGTAACTTTTTTCCCCTGACATAGGTAGATCTAAATAAAACCTAGATAAAAGGCCAGATATTTTGGATCTTTTTGATGGAGAGTAGCTACACTAGTCTAATAGTAGGGATACTGGCTCCATGCTTTTTTTTTTTTTCTTTTGGGGAATAATATTTGACCAGTTGTTGATTGGTTAACATTTAGCAAAGCCATTTAGATGATTATACCTATTTTTCCCCCTCCCATTTAGGTGTTTGCTACAAAACTGACTTATCCTCAACCAGTAACTCCATGGAATATCAAAGAACTGAGGCAGGCTGTTATAAATGGTCCCAGTGTTCACCCTGGAGCCTCCATGGTCATTAACGAAGATGGGTCTCGCACGATTTTGAGCACAACCAGCCAGACACAGAGGGAATCCATAGCCAAGCAGCTCCTCACTCCTCCCACTGGTGCCCCAAAGTCAGCAATGAAAATAGTGAGTATTAAACAAACCCAACCCAGCAGGGTGGTGTTCTAAGAAACTTTCTTTGGTGGGAGAAAGGTAGTTACAAGGATGTGCTAGCATCCCGGTTCTCTGAGCCAGCTGAACCAAGGCATGATAAAGTCATAGATGCGTAGCTAAAATTTCCATTTCTTAGGTTAAGAATTATTTCTCCTTTCCTGAATTTGATTTCCCTTCTCTGTGTGTGTTTTTATGGCTCCCCACTTCTGTAAAAGTAGTGAATATCACATTTTCCTAATCTACTTCTCTTGAGGATGTCTAGGCAGATAGATAGCGTCCTTTTAGTTAGGCTTAGTGGTATAATGATAAAGGGCGTATTGGAGCTGCTGATGCTCAGTGCATCTTGGGATTGGGCCCCATGAGGGTAAAGACCAAACTTAACTTCAGGCCAGACAATAGTGATACGATGCAGGCAGTGTTGTCTATATGGCAAAAGCAAGACTGGGACTCTTGACATATCTATTTTCAGCTCTGCAGTTGATTAGCTGTCTGATCATGGTCAGCTTGTTAAACTTCCAAGCTGTTAAACCCCTATTAAAATGTTCCTCTATCTCATGGGTGCTGAGAAACTGAAATTTTTACAGAGTGTTTAGCTACTCGGATGAAAAGTGAACAGCAAGTTAATCTACCCTGGGTGGTGGTCAAGTAGACCCTTTGCTCTCTGCTGCTCCCCATCTTTTTCCCTGGCAGCCCTTTTTCCCCCCCTTTTCTTACTTTCAGACACTGCTCTCTCCGAGCACATGGAAGTGAAGAACAAATTTGAAAACAATAACCATGAAATTCAACATGGCTGTAGCAATTTGCGTATTATATCCATTAGTTCATCCAAAATTGATGTATGTTACCTTTTTTTGCCCTGAAACTGGTGCCAGTTTTAGCACAGGTACTCCATAAACACACTTTTGAGCAGCACTCTGGCACCTACTTATATGTAGTAGAAACTGCATGGTATTAGTCCAGGTCCAAAGCTTCCTCACTTCAGAAGCTCGTTATGAAGATTGTCCGAAGAGTTTAGAGCCAGTTGGCATCACATAACTGCTGAGTCTTTTACCATATAGTTCATTGGGCTGGGCCCCAGCAGTTGACAGCATGTCAAACCACGGTGACCCCACAGCTCAGGTCTGCTCAGTATACGTGTATTCCAGATACTGTGCCTGCCAACAAAGGAGTCCTATGCTAATTAGCCCCCACTCATCTCTAGAAGGTGTTCTTGTCAAGTCCTGAGATGCTTTAAAATTTATATGCAGATGTGGTGCAGGGCAACCTATGGAGCACAATCATGCAGCAGGCTGGGAAAGAGGGCAACAGTGATTCTGGGTGAATTATTTGGGGCCCTGTGTGGTGGTGATTGCCAGGCATTTAAGGCTGGCGAAGAATCAGAAATCACTGGGCATGGAAAGAAAGGCACAACTCAGCTGTGGGAGTGAAGATGAAGTTAAAATATATGCCATGTAGTGGCTGCTCATGGCTTGAAAAAGAGTTGCCGCTGACGGGGATTGCACTTAAAGGATACTACCATATGTCTTATTCAGATGGGCTGCACTATCCTTTTCTTGCTGTAGGTTTCCATCAGTATGTTTGCCCTATATGGGCTGTGTGTTTTATAGCCATGCTTAGTGTTGGCTACCTTCAGTCAGTTTCATAGCTGGTTTCCATTGCTGAGCACATGCTGCTTGTGGCAGCAGTTTAATGATAGACAGTGTGTTTAGTGAGATTTCCATATATGGGATTATAAGCTTAATGAGGAGCTTTTCCCCCATGCCAACTTGAGGAAATGTCTTGTAGTTGAGTAAAATTATGGCTCTTCCTGTAGTGTTTTCAATGACAGAAAAGCATCTGTGAATTAGAGCCTGAAAGTTGAACTTTTTTTTTTAATATTAGCTGAATATTATAATATTAGCTTTTTGAGAGAATTATCCTGGCACATGTCCGTGAGGGGCCAGCAGGGGAGATTATGCTTAGGGGCAACCAACACGGGTTCATTAGAGGCAGGTCCTGTCAGGATAACCTGGTGGCTTTCTACGACCAGGTCACCAAATCCTTAGATGCAGCTGTTGCGGTGGACGTAGGCTTTCTGAACTTTAGGAAGGCCTTCGACACTGTCCCTTACCCTGTTCTCATTAAAAAACTAGAAGACTGTGGCATCGATACCTACACAGTCAAATGGGTCACCAGCTGGCTGGAGGGCCACACCCAGAGGGTGATGGTGGACGGGTCCTTTTTGACCTGGAGGGATGTGGGCAGTGGGGTCCCCCAGGGCTTGGTCCTCGGGCCTGCACTGTTCAACATCTTCATCAGTGACTTGGACGAGGGGGTAAAAAGCACCCTGTTCAAATTTGCTGACGACACTAAGATGTGGGGGGAAGTGGGCGCTCTAGAAGGGAGGAATAGGCTGCAACTGGATCTAGACAGGTTACAGGGGTGGGCAGATGAGAACAGGATGGGATTCAACACTGACAAATGCAAGGTGATGCACCTGGGGAGGAAGAACCAGCACCAGACCTACAGGCTGGGGAACTCCCTTCTCATCAGTGCAGAGGCAGAAAAGGATCTTGGAGTCATTATTGATGCCAAAATGAACACGGGCCGACAATGTGGGGACGCAGTCAGGAAGGTCAACTGTACCATGTCATGCATCCAGAGATGCATCTCTAGCAGGTCCAAGGAGGTGATCCTCCCCCTCTATGCGGCACTGGTCAGGCCACAGCTGGAGTACTGCATCCAGTTCTGGGCACCGCACTTCAAGAGGGATGTGGACAACATGGAGAGGGTCCAGACGAGGGCCACTCGCATGATGAGGGGGCAGCAGGGCAGGCCCTACGAGGAGAGGCTACAGGTCCTGAACCTGTTCAGCCTCCACACGAGAAGGCTGAGGGGGGATCTAGTGGCCTGTTACAAACTAGTCGGGGGGACCAGAAGGCACTGGGGGAGTCCCTGTTCCCCTGAGCACTACTGGGAGGAACAAGGAATAACAGTCACAAGAGGGTAGATTCAGGCCAGATATCAGGAGACGCTACTTCACTGTCAGGGTGGCTAGGACCTGGAGCCAACTTCCAAGAGAAGTGGTGCTGGCTCCTACCCTGGGAGTCTTTAAAAGGAGGCTGGATAAACACCTTGCCGGGGTTGTTTGACCCCAGTACTCTTTCATGGCAGGGGGCTGAACTTGATGCTTAGGTCCTTTCCAACTCTACCTACTATGAAACTATGAATAGCTTGTTCTGTTGAAGCTATGAAAGATTAAAATGTGGGCCACCATATGTTTGTTGGAACTCCCAATGAGAGTCGGGGGCTCACAGAACTACTTTCATTTTATTGAGAGTGTATGTGTATAGTGCAAGGTCACTCCTAAATATAATTAGAGGTCCTGAGATTCTGAGAACCTTTACTGTTCTCGAATTAAAGGAAATTATTTTAAAATAGATCCAAGATAAATCCTAGGTACTAGCAGTTTTGCTAAATAGACACCAAAATCTGTCTTTAGTAACCTATAGACAGAATCCTAGGTCTTTGAGAAATCTCAATCTGAACCCAAGACGGTGATAAGATTTCAAATGATCCCTGACTAGGTTAACTGTGGAACAGATGCAAAGTGATTTTTCTTACACTTGGAAAAGTTCAAGTCTCTGCTCTGCCACAAACATTGGGCACATCACTTAGGGTGGTATCTAGGTTGGTCCACTAAGTGAATAAATGGGATTTGGGGCAGAATTTAAGTGCCAGAATTTCAGAAAGCCACCCAAAACAATGCTGATCCAGTGACCACTAAACCTGGGTGCCTAAATTCATTCGGTGCCAGTGTCTTAAATGGCAGTTTTGTTGGTGACGACAAAACTTGAGCTTCCTTGCATTTTCAGAAGTGATCCAGTCTGACCAGTTAGATGCCAAAGTTCTGCCTAAACTCCACTATAATCCAGAACAAACATGTACTAAACATGCTTAAACTTCACCCAAATTTCTTGACAGACCTAATCTAGCAGGCACTCTCTAAGGACACCTAACTCATACTGACCATAGTGAGTTTATAAGGAGCACAACAGCAAGCCATTCAAAATACGGCTGCTTGAAGAGGGGAAGGTGGTTCTGGTGGTAGTGTTAACTTTTTGTATAATGGCTTAGTAGTTACAGCACTAATCTAGGAAGTGGGAGACCCAGCTTCTAGGCCCTCAGCCAGTATAGATTCAAACCCATGCCTTGTGAAGGTGCTTTAACCATCATGCTTATTGAATAACTAGCCAATTACCCATCAGAAATGACAGGGAAGGGTGGGGTTTGGAGCAGCCTAGGACAGTGGCCTGCATCTAGCCCCATTCCCCCCCCCCACCTTCAGGGCTGGGACCACTTCCCCTTTCCCCCCTGCCACTTTGGGGCTGGGCCGCCTCACACCTCCGTGTGCTGGCCCTGTTCACTCCATCGTGCATGCCTGCAGGCCCGGGGGCATATGGCCAGCAGTGCTGTCCTTGCCCCCGCATCTTCTCCATTTTTGCGGCCTGCAGGGAGGAGGGTGGATGGGGCCAGCACTGCTGGCCTCATCCCTCCTCCATCTGCTCCATAGCTCCCACCTGCAGAGTTGGGGGGCTGGGGCCAGTGGTGCTGGCCTTGGTGTCAGTGGGGGGACAGGGCCAGCACTGCTGGCCCTTCCACTCTGTTGCCTGGTGGGGCTGGGGACAGAGGCCTGGGGCCAGGCCCACTTCCTCCACCCTTGCCCCTGCTGCTTTGGGGCCAGGACTACTCCCCCGCACCTGGGGGGCTGGTAGGGACAGAGCCCAGCATCCAGGACTGTGCCCCTACTCCCCTCATCTTGCCTGACCCTGTTTGCCCCCCTTGCCAAGAATCCCAACCCTGTTTCCCCTCCTCGTGCCAGTGCTGCCTCCACAGAGTGGGGGCGGGGTGCTCCCCATTTCCCACACTCCACCGCGGGGCCGGACCTGGCACCCCCCCCCGCTGCCGTTGTGGGGCCGGTGCTGGGTCCACCCCTCCCACCCTTCCTGCTGCTGTTGCGGGGCCCAGCGCGCCACCCCCCCCCATAGCCTCCATTTTGGGGCAGGCTAAGCCTGGCATGGCCCCTTGCCACCACTGCCACCTCCAAGGAGCAAGGGGTGTGCTTGCCTCCGCTCCGTCCCCTGTGTCACCACCATCATGGCAGCACTGTGCCGCGCCACCACATCCTGTCTGAACACTGTATTTGCACTCTGATTGGTTGTTTCCATTGGTTGTTATAGACAGACAGACAGACTGACTATAGCTTCTATAATATTAAAATTTGGGTGGGGGCACTCTCCACCTAAAGAATCTGGACCATGGTGAAGCCACAATGATGAGAATCATGAGACCAGAAAGAGAACAAATAAGAGGAAGCTTGACTTTGTAGCCTAGTGCCCTTGGCTGAAGAAGGGGCTATAGTCCAGTCCTTGTTCTGTGGACTGTTTGAAGTAGATGGTTGTGAGTTAAAACCCCCATGAATTATCTTTTTAAAAACTAGAACCTGAAGTCAGCAGGGAGGAGGGAGCCTACCAAGGCACCTGTGCCTAGAAAAGGTCATTTAGAGTGACTGGCGGTGTTTAATATGTCACATTCAGCCATATGCCTAAGCTTTCAGGAGGAGGGTGATTTCAGGAACACCCCTGCACTTAGTTTCCAATTGGCTGGATCTTGGTGGCTCGTTGGTCAGCATCTGGGCTCTTTGAATCACCCCCTGGAAATACCTGACTCTCCATTGCCTTTGCACCTAATTGGGTTCATTTGAACAACCATCCTAGCAGCAGATGCTTTTCTGTAGTCACCTAAGGGACCAATATGGATTTTGCCTTTTTGTGTGCTTCAGCTCTCTGTAAAATGGAGAGAGCAGTGTTCACTAGCTTATGGGGGAGCTGGAAAGCTAAATACACTCAAGTGTGAGACACTGACTGTGCAGTAATGTGCACCATAGAATTACATTAGATAGCTTGTATACAATACAGCTGGTTCTGGCTGAATTAAAATACCCCTGGAAAGTTCCTTAAGCAGGATAGTGAATATTGAGGATAATCAACTTTCCTTTCTACCATCCTCCTCCCACCCTGCTATTTCCATAAAGAAATGTTCTCTGCTTTCGTATGTACTTGGAGGTTTAGGGTCTCTTTCCAAGGCCCACACAAGAGCATGCATTCTAATAGTTATTCAGGGAAAAACTAGTGGTTTTTTGGGTTAGGAGAGGGCAGGGCTCAGGTATTAGTGGTTTGGCAACAGTTCTGAAATCTTCCAAGGTATTGCCAAGCCATGCTACAGGTGACGACAATCAAAAGTTCACTTCACGCTAAAGCACTATAATTTATATGCCTGAGATTTTACCATGTCGTTGGCTGTTGGTCCAACCCTTCCCACGTTCCACAGGGAAAGGTGGGAAAGGAAACCACCCAGCTTGCTCACAGGCCCTGTGACGCAAGTTAGAGATTGAAACCCTCACCAGACAGTCATTTGAGTCAGAGTTCAAGTATTTTCTTGATTTAATGTGATTTTTTTTTTTTTCTGTTTGCTTTCACCCCAAAGGGTGGGGACATCCCAGTGACCTTGGATTCCTTCTGTCATGGAACAAGTGGAGTTGTCTGTTATATACAGGAACTTTCAGAATTTCCTGTTGGCTTCTTGTGATTGAAGTGGCTAAGCAGTAAAACTTGAGTTCGCCATTGAAAAATAGGCTGAGCATAGCCCCAGTCAGGAAGGCACTTAGTGCCAAAATATAGCAAGCCGAACTTTATAGAGATTAGCTTATCTCCTGGAATTCTGAAGGCTGTTGAAACCTTAAAGTAACAAATGGTGAACACACAGTAAGTGTTTATAGTACAAGCAGTTTAATCATCAACAGCCCTGTTTATCAATAATCAATAAGACCTTTTTACTGACAGGGAAGGTGCAGCAGTGTTGGGTATTATGGTCAAGTTTGCATAATAAGTTGAGGTCAAAACTGAACTGAGAACTGGGGAGTCCCTGGTGTCCAGTCCTGCACTCTGTCCACACTGTCTTTTTCTAGGATGTGTGGAATGACAGTATTCTTGTGTTCTCACTTCTTTTCCTTTTGCATATGGTACAGTTTTGAAAGCTGCTTCTTTATGGCATGCAGAATAATAGTGGGGGGAAAAAACTGCTTTCATTCACACAGCTGCTTTTTAAATAACTTTTTCTTTAAATAGAAATATGTTCATGAATAACTAAATGACATTAAAACTCTCTCATAGGTCTGCCGCCATGTTAAAAATGGAGATGTCCTCTTACTGAACCGTCAGCCTACCCTTCATAGACCCTCTATCCAAGCCCACCGGGCTAGAATCCTGCCTGGAGAGAAGGTGCTGAGGCTTCACTATGCCAATTGCAAAGCCTACAATGCTGACTTTGACGGTGATGAAATGAATGCTCATTTTCCTCAGAGCGAATTGGGCCGAGCTGAAGCGTACACCTTAGCCTGCACTGATGAGCAGTATCTTGTTCCCAAGGTAAATAAACCCTCAGTGAAAGACATGATTCCTCCTTGCCTTTCCCACATGTTCCCAGGCAACATTCCTTCATTCTCCCATTTCTCTCCCAAAACCCAGCTGCTCCCCTTGGGAAAGAACATCCACCATCAGAACACTGTCCTCTTCTCCTGCTACTGGTCTTCCTTCCACTCTCTGGTGCAGGTCCTCACTGTTCACTCCTGCTTCCAGAAAATGGGTACCTTTGATCTTCCACTGTCTTTATATCTTTCCTTCTGACACCAGCTTTCTGCTCCTCTACTATTATAACCTGCTGCTTGTTTTGCTAAATGTCTTTTTGCATTCTTTGGGTCAGGGACAATAAACTGATGTGGGTGTAAGAGTCATGGACCATGGCTGCCTACTGTTACCAGTAAACTCTTCCCCCCACCCTTGACTTCCTTAACTTTATCCTTTTTTAAATGAGTTTTATGTTAACCATACCCTTTAAATCATAATGTTCAGGAGATAATTGGTGGAGGAAGAGAAGATATTACCATAAAGGACTCGCCCAGGACATTGGTGTTTTTTATACTTTTTAAAAATTGAACTAATTTTGTAATTTCTTCCAATCGCCTATTATTTGTATCCCTCAGGATGGCAAACCGCTGGCAGGTTTGATCCAGGACCACATGATCTCTGGTGCCAGTATGACGATTCGAGGCTGCTTTTTCACGAGGGAGCAGTATATGGAGCTGGTCTATCGAGGGCTCACAGACAAAAAAGGAAGAGTGAAAATTCTTCCACCTGCCATCATGAAACCACAACAGTTATGGACAGGAAAACAGGTAGTTAAAACTTCATTGGTTTATCTAGGATACAGATGGCTCGGAACTAAGTATAATATTATAATTTAAATTAGGATCAGCCAACGTTGCTGAAAAATGGGCTCAGTTGCAGGCAATGCATGCACACACGTGCTTTGTGACTATTTTTTCCTGCGTATGCCCAGTTCTGTTCCTTAAGGTTATCAGATTGGGAACTGCATTTTAGCTTTTACTCCTGACAGCGTTACACCATCATTTATGATGATGATTAGATATGTGATCTGAGGAAGGCCACAGAGAACTGGAATGGCTCCTTACTAACTTACTTTTTCTTGGATAGACAGTCTTGGAGGCGGTTTTTCATATATGTCCTGCTTCTGAAGATTTTTTTCTTATGCATTCTTCATACTTCAGTGTTCTCGGGTTGTCCACAGTAAATACAGTTACTCATGGTGGGACAAGGGTAGCTAAATTTAAATCTCCTAAATTTAAACTTGACAGGGAAAGTCTTATCTATTTTGGGGCATTTTTGCTGAAATCAAGAGTGGATCAGTGTAATATCAAATATACAGTATTAGAAGGATGGATATCTAGCCTTTCCAGAGGTCTGTAACCTTTTTCCAGTTGCTATGACCCACAGCATAATAGGGAAGGTACACTAGTGCTGATTGTTTTAGTATTCAGGCTTTCAACAATAGTCTCTGACCTGTGGCTTCATTAAAAATGTAATGACACTAGCACACAATGGTAAGGAAGTATGAAAAACAAAATACACTGTATAAAATAGAAATAAAATATCAAAATACTACAACATGCTGCAGTAATGCCACTGTAAACTACAGCATGTAAGAGTTGATTTCTGTAGATTAATACCATATATTCTTTTAATGTATAAAATCTTAAATAAAACTGAGGTTAGAATCGCAGCAGTATTGTTTTTCTCACAAATACTATGGCAGGACAGTAGGGGACACTACTGTGCTGAGCCACCTGCCTCACTGTGCCCGACCAAAACAATGCTTTGGGTGTCTCCCCTGGGGTGCCTACGTCCAGCTGACCCCCTTTCCAGAGCACACCCATAAGCCTGGGGTAATTGCTGCCACCTCCCTGGCTCTGGTCTCTGTTAGGGATGTTTTTAGGTACGACAGAATCGGATAATAATCATCCGAGCTCTGGTAGGAGCGAAAAGGCTTGTCCTTCCTCTCAAGCATTCACAGCTAGGTGTGGTGTAACAGATTAGTTTTTATTAATCAGAGAGAGGGAGATTGGGGAAGGAGTACAAGATAGAGTAGTAGAAACAGAATGGGCAAAACAGAATGGGCTTGTTGACCCTTTTAATGTGCAGCTAAAGATACATAACCCTAATTTACTGGCTACATTTTAGGGAAGCTACTTACATGTACATTCAGAGGATTCTGGAGGCCTGTGCTTCTGTTTTGTGTTTCCAAAATGCCTCCCTGGAGGAAGCCCCCAGACCAGGTGACCTGACCCTTAAATACCTTTTTTGACCTCATCACCTGGCTCCAACCAGAAGCAGGCAACCTCTAAAAACTGCTGTTGTAGACCAATCCTTTTAAAGATTGTCACTAACCCCTGGTGGAGTGATCAGTATCACAAAACTGATTCAGCAGGTCCCTTGGTGGGAAACTTAAGACAAAAGACTGGGACTCAGTAAGGTGGGGATGGGAGAAAGCAAAATACACAGCAACCCAGAGGCAGTCACAAAGGGATCTCTTCAAAAATCCCATCATTTTTTTCCTTTCTTTGCCATTTTTTAAAAGTGGGGGGCACCATCCACTTCTCAGCAAACAACAGCGTCAGCTTGGTGTGCTTCTGAAGGTAGTGGGTAACCAAGCAATATTCATGCCCTATAATAGATTTAAGACTGGTAGTTTTCTGGTGCTGGAAAACTATGCAACAAGGTAAAGGCTGAACAACAAGGATTTGTACAGTATGAATGGAGGTGCTCATAGTGATTTGAGGATCTAAAACGTTCATGGCTCCTGACAGTTGGTTAATCTTGTCTACTGTTTTCTTACAGGTTGTTTCTACGTTGTTAATAAACGTAATTCCAGAAAATCACATCCCACTGAATTTGTCCGGGAAAGCTCAGATTGGGGCAAAAGCCTGGGTGAAAGGGCCTGTGAACAGGATTCCTGGGCTGAATCTAGATTCAATGTGTGAATCTCAGGTACGATTGTGTGACTAAGTGGGTGCAGAGACTGTCCTGAATTTGTTGTTAAGCGCAGGAGAATCTTGTGAAGGAAAATAAAGTTCCTGCTCAGAATGGGTGGGTCTGGGAGCCAGTAAACACTTTACTTCTAGTCCAGGGCTTTCCTTTAACCTCTCTCTACTTGAGTTTTGTCTTTGTGTTGTTGTTTTTCAGTCTGGGGAAACTGAGCTGTCTTCTATGTGCTTGGAGGATGACTTATTAGTAAAGCACTTTCGAAAAGTATTAAGGAAGTGCTAAGGCCTGATTCACCAAAAGACTTGCACATGGAGACTTGAGAGTTACCCATGCCTAAGTTGTAGGTGCCCAGCTTCCAGAGTAGAAACTCTTAACCCTGAGTCAAGCCTTGGTATTCACAAAAGCAGTAAGCTTTTTTGATACCAGGTAAGGAGGGGAGTACCAAAGCCATATTACAAGAAACATCAGAAACAAGATGCGACATAACCTATGGTCTGAATCTGTCAGATCAGACCCCTTTGGACATAGGTGCAGAGGCAGCTAGTTCGAAGATCCCAGATGGGCAGGTACCTAAAGAACTTTACTGGCAAAAAGTTTGGGTACCTGAAGCCTTTCTGATACGCAAGTGGTTAGGTAGAGGTATTATGGTTCACATTCTTGGACTAGGCATCTAAATTCTATCCGGATCTCACTTGTCATTCTTAAGCGTTGTGGTAATTCTGACTTTTATTTTTAATAGTTTATTGCTGGAAGATATTAATCTCAAACTTTTTCTGTCTTAGTTGTTTTTTCCTCATGATCATGGTTTATTTTAAATTTGTACCAAAGAATTTGTAGTTGGAATCATGTCCTGCCCACAATCAAAATTGCTGTTCTTTAGTTGTTTAAATCTGTCATCTCATTCTGTCCACCAGGTTGTCATGAGAGAAGGGGAGTTACTTTGTGGGGTCTTGGACAAGGCACACTATGGCAGCTCTGCTTTTGGCCTGGTCCATTGTTGCTATGAGGTTTATGGTGGTGAAACCAGCGGCAAGGTGCTTACCTGTCTAGCTCGCCTCTTCACTGCCTACCTGCAACTCTACAGGGGATTTACAATGGGTGAGTGTAGCAAAAGCAAACTAGCCATCTTGCTGCTGTTAGTGTTCCTGAAGTATTAAGCTGAGATCAGTGTGTATAATAAAAAGAAAGAGTGCTATGGTATTATTTTCTACAGGGTGTTATGCCCTTGAATCTGACAGCTGTTCACTTGCATGATTTTTCTGTTTAGTGTGTGATTTCCTTTCTGACCACTAGAAAGAAATGATGTGCATCTCACTGAATTCTCTGTCTTCACTTTTGATGTGCTATGGCACAGGATTCTGGTACAACTTGGTTCTGATCAAAAACGTGTTTTTGTTTGTTTGTTTGTTTTTTTAAATGTACGTGAAAAAGAAAAAATAGCTACGTAGTAACTGAAGCTACTGACACGTTCAGAAATGCTAGCAAGAAAATCTTGCGTTTATTCTGTTTAGCTGTTAGATTAGGGATTTCTTTTGTGTCTC